CAACTTTGAACGTCATGACTGTAAATCCTATTTTACCAAAATTTCGAATTTTTATGATTTATGATTTTGTCTTAGTGATTGTTTGTGATTGCAATTCCTATTTCTCAATGTTTCTACAAGATAAAATGATTTCCAAAGTCCAATTTCTTAGAAATAATGGTGAAACAGATATAAAACGTATTTGAAACAAAGCTTACTTTAGAGCATTAACTTGTTTTTTTTTATCTAGAAACTATGCAGTAGGATTTGAACATCGCAATCTCAAACCCTAGTTTTACAAGTGTATCTTGAATTCCATAGTCCAATTCAGGAAAGACAAACAGCTAAAGTCTAGTGGAGTAAGCGTGTCTGTGAACACACCCCTTACCACCATAGACACCACTTCCCTACAACAAAGGCAAAGTTGGAGCAGTTTGAAGACGTCATTAGAGACAGGATAGAGAAGGATAGATTGACACATGCTGAGCTTAGTGCTCATTTTCAGGCTGCTATCCAGCACAGTAAGGGTTTAGTATTAGATCAATACCGGAGACAAAATCTTAATGATGCCATTGGACGTAATGTAGTTCTAATGTAAACTTTTGTTTAATTAACAAGCCTCAAACTCCCATCACTTCATGTGCGAGGAGTATGATTACGAACCTCGATTCTAAATTAGATTGCCGTTTCTCCTTTCACTAACACCAGCACCCACACACAGTTGCATGGCCCAGTGATTCTATGTACTATGCATGTGACACTGCACTGGCGAATCTAAAAACATTAAAATGGGAGGTTCCATTTTACTTAAGTAGGTGCAGCTAATTAAATAAAATCAAAATTTGGGTGTGGCTCATCAATTTTAATTAATAAATTGGAGGAAGTGTTGCAAACTGGCTGCAAAGACACTGAAAAGAACTACTGCCAAAGGGGGATTCCATGGAACTCCCCTAGATCCGCCACTGCACTCTAATGCTTTTCTATAGCCTTACATGAATTAATTTACCAATGTTTATGGCAAATAAGTTTAATTTGTACTTGGTGTTAAGATTGCTGAATTTATTTCATTCATTAGCATCACCGATTTAATTATTACTTGCTGACTATGACATAATTAATATATAATTAAACCTTCCTTTTGGTTGGCCAATTAAAATACAGCAGAAAGCCATGACCAGATTGATAGGTTCAGAAGGTTTAATACTCAGGAAGAAAACATTACAGTGAGTAAGGATTGTTAAATGCTGATGTTGCAATTGTCTGATTTTAAATTTTGAAATTTGGGGCGAATACAGGGTCTGATCTGTCCAGTGAAGTCCCTATTGGCCAACCTGGCGGTAAGAGGCCCTGAGCCTGTCTCCTGTTTGTGTTTCGGGATTGGTCTCCTCCGTCCCATAGGTGTCTGGTCGCTGCTATTCATGGTGCATTAGCTGCATCAGGGATGGATGTTAGTCATTTTAATGGCCACAGCTTTCATATAGGGGCAGCCACTACCACGGCTGCTTGTGGCCTCGAAGATTCACTTATCAAGGTTCTGGGTCAGTTTAAGTCATTGGCATTCACTCAGTATATTCTGACTCCAAGGAGTACCCTGGTGGGGGTGGCCCAGACTCTAATGGCTTCCCATTGACTTTTCTTGTTTGAGTTTATGTTGGGCCTTTTGCTCTTATTATTCCTAATTATGTTTATGTTATGTTTTATTGTTAAGATCTTGCATTCAATGCATTTGTACCTATTTTATTTCATATTCCCACAAATATTTGGGGAGTGAGATGCCTGCGGCATCTCTGGCAGTGTTGGTTCCCATCACTCACTCCCCCATATTTGTGTAGTCTGCCTGTAACCATCCTGAGCCTCTATTTGGGCCTCCAGGGAGGGGGGCGTTGCTCTGAATGGCCCTTTTTACAATGTAGGGCACAAACCCTAAGCCAGGTCTCCAATTGAGCTGCTCTCTTAATGGGTTCCTGCCCGTGGCAGGGGGCATCACCATTGGTGACCCACGGCATGCCTGCTGTTGGTGCCGGACCATTCTGCGGCGTTGACATGCCACTGTTGGTTGTGATGGGCATATTCGTACGCCCACCTGCACATTTGTGGCTCTCGCTGTTAGTGATGGACCAGTCGGTGGCTCTGACATGCTATGGGACACCTGCCGGTGCAGCTGCTTCCCTCACAGACATGGCATCATGCTGTTGGTGCTGGACCATTTGGCAGCACTGACATGTCATGATCAGCTGTGCTCCTACCGTTGATGCGGCTGGTATTATCCATGTACTCCTGGGGTTGTTACCAACCCCTCGGCTGTGGTTACAACCAGGATCTTGAGGAGTCACTGTTGAATAGTATTATGTGATTATTTCATTATTCATTTAATTAATTATTCATTTTTGTGAGCATGCGCAGTACTCAATAGAGTCTGCCATTTTATTAAAGAGAAGTTTGTTGTGAGTCTTGTACTCTTGTTAAATCCGCTCCAGTCCTGATATTTAGCCGTCCATCTCCTAAAAAGAACCAACCAGATAATCAATATTTGGTCACTCGAGCCGGATTGAGATTGACAGGACCTGGATAGTGCGCGTTCGACGGGACAGGAGCCTGACAGTTGGGAATTTTGTAATCTCGGGGCAACAAGACACAGCGGCGCTACAGGTTTGTATCAGTACACATACCTGAGTAGTTGGTAGTGCCTTCGTGTGTATTTATAGTTTTGTTGTCAGTTGTTGAGATAATAATTAATTTTTTGTTGTAATAATTGATCACATGGCGAAATGGCGGAAGGGCTACAACGGAAGGAGGGGAAAAGGTGCGGTTTCCGGGATGTTCTTGTAGGCAGACTGGAGGAAGCTAAAGACATCCTGATAGCAGCAGATGTGGATCCAGTCAAGTTGGAGCAGCTGAGACTTTATGTGAATGAGAAGCACTCAGCCTTGAAGAAACTTGATGAAGAAATATTGGAGCTTCTAGATGATGATGAAGCAATTGTGGCAGAGATTGGTAATGCGGATAAGTTTAATGATCGTATTTATGAGAGTTTAGCTAAGATTGAAGTACAGTTGAGAAGTGTGAATAGAGTGAGCAAAGACCGTAGCGCGACAGTCTCTAGCGATGCAGTGACCAGCAAAACTAAGCTACCGAAATTAAATGTACCAGTGTTTAAGGGTAATGTAACTGAGTGGTTGACCTTTTGGGATCTTTATAATGTAGCAGTGCACTGTAATGATAGTATTTCACCGGTACAGAAGTTCACACACTTGCGTACTTTAGTTAGTCAT